AACAACTGTTTGTAAGTAATGTTGGCAAGCAAAGGATCGTTTTTTCAAGGAAATTAGCATTAATGAGACCTGTTTCTTAAACATGCGAATGGCTGCCTCAGCTCGGTTTGGCCATGGAGTTCCTGGTCCTAGAGAGATTGGCCTGATGCTGTGCCGGTTGTAGTAATTCTCCATTTCAGTGCCCATGAAAGCTTGATCGGCAACAATATATTTTGGATTCAGCTGATAAGTTTCAAAGTACTCTTGAAGATGAGATATCGTCACCGTGTCAGACCTGTTCTGAACTACAAAGGCAGTAGTCAATGAAGTTGCACCGTCATACATAAGTAGGAATTGAAGTTTTGACTGAGGATTGATAGGAACTTCTCCATGATCAATGAAAGTAAGTTCACCAAAGACTTCACTTCGGATTCCTGAAACCTTAGCTCTCGATGGTGCAATCTTGGCCGTGGAACATGTGTCACATGATTTTGTGATCTGGTCAAACTTGTCATAAATATCTTTTGGCAACTTCAGAGCTGATGTTCTTCTCTTGAATTGTTCAGTGGTCATATGATAATGCTTCAAATGCAACTTGAGAAGTTCAGTAGGGGGTTGAAGCTTATCATGAATTCTCTGAAGTGCTAACGACAATGTTCCTTTAGGTGACGGTTCCTTCTTCTCTTCAAGTTTTACTTCAACCTTTGGTTCCGGTTTGACTTCAGGCTCTTCTTCAATCTGAGGTTCCCGACGTCTTGGGATACCGTCCTTTGAACCGGAACTTGGCCCAGAGGCCACCATTGGCTCTTCATCAGGATCAAAAGGTTGAGCTGGTACATCTAATTTGCTATCAGGCTGAATTACCTTCTTGACAATTTTCTTGGAATCAGACTTGGCCGGTTTCGGCACCTGTGCTGGCTTAGGTTCTGATCCCTTGAATCTCTTGCAACCTTCTTTGTTTGTGTGTGGTCGATGTTTACCATTGCATGCTGGGCATGTGATGTCTTCGGACTGAAAGCTGTACATCGGTTTCCAACTGGAAGTAGCAAGAGCCATAATGTCAAGAACTGGATGGTTGGATGTACTGACCGCCAATGCGGTGCGTTGCATTCCGAACAGTGGACAAGTCATGAACTCACCTACAGGAGTGTGTTCAATGTTCATGCGAAGATTCCTCATTTGTTCAACTGAGAAGAGGATAGGAACCTTACCTTTGTCTAGGATGTCAACGCATGTTGTTATCCAACCAGTTTGTGCACGATCATTGCGAAAATGAATCACTAATCTTTCCTTGACAGTAGATTGTTCTCCATTGGCAAATGAAAATTTACTCGAACACGGTTGCTTGGAAAACCAAATGTGGTCACGCTTCGGATGTTGTTGGCAAGCTTGTACAAGGCGATCAATAGCAAAGCGGGATCCCATGGCTCGAGTGCAACCTGAGTCAAGGATGACATAAGTCGGATGAGAACCTAAATCTACATACTCACAAAGTAATGCTTGTTGGGCACCATGATCATAATTGAGAAATACACACTCTTCCGTAGAGACGGAATTGAGCGGGCTTGTGTGCGGCTGAAACGAATGCAGATCACCGATTTCGGTAGAAACACTCTTCTCAACTTGGCGGATGCTCTGAAAAAGGGACCTGTTCAAATCAGAAAAGCATTGGTACATCACAGACACGAACAGAAGCACGAATGTGAGGGCTTCTACAAGTTCGTGTCCGAACAGTCGGAACAAGCTAATGCCTGAAAAACAGAACCGGTTGATCTGGTCGCTCTGTCCGTCCTCAGAAATGACGTCTGAATGCTTGTCCTCGGATTCGGTCAGTTCCTCAGCGGAAGCAAAGTAAGACCAATTGTACCAATCACCTTGGGAGTAATCTCCATCGTATCCATAGTAGGATTCATAACCTGACCAGTCATCTGTCCAATAGGTGTCATATTCATAACCCCAGCTTTCTTCGGCATGGGCTGTTTCTTGTTTTTCAGGGGCTTGTGATGCACTAGATGTTGCAGCTTGTGCTACATTGGCTTGTGGAGGTTGTGACAAAAATGGATTGTTTCCTCCTTTGTTCTTCGCATCACCTTTTCCTTTTCCTTTCCATGAAGGCATTCCTTTGAAAGAATCCTTTCCTTTCATCATTCCTTTCTTGCCCTTTTTACCTTTTCCTTTGCCCTTGCCTTTTCCCCAGAAAGCTGTGTCTTGCTGGTCATCTTCCCATGCTGCAAAACCCTTGCCTTTTGACCTCGGGCGGAAGCCAGGTCTTGATCTTTTTCCTCCTTTCTTGCCATAACCCTTCGGTCTTCCTTTCTTGAAGGACCTGCCGTAGATACGGCGCTTAGAGTATGAACCCTTGGCGCTGAGAACCCAGAACTCGTTCTCCGTGTACAGACCTGTGAAACCTTCCTCACCCGTCTCTTCATCAAAGACCCAAAATCCGTACTCACCTTCCTCGGTCTCGCCCTCGTCGATGACGTAGAAGTTGGACCGCTTGCGGTGCGTGATGTTTGGGTCTGCAACACCTGTGCGAGAAACGGCAAAAAGTTCTAAGAACAGCTGTTTCACTTGGAGATAGATATACTGAGGCATTGCAATCTGACGGATGTTCATGGACGAGACAAAATGCTCACGTTGTTGCTCGTTGAGGTCTGCTTGGACTAAGAAAATCAGTGACATCAAATTGTCTGACAATGGAAACTGCTGTGCATGTCTGGTCCTTCTATTGGTTATGGTCTGTTCTCTCAATGTTTGTTGATAAGCTAGCTTATCTTCATCTGATACTATTCCATTATAGTGCAGTCTTTGCTCATCTGTGAGTGCTGCCGTAAATGCCGGAGTGCCTGCTTCGGGAAGGTCGGATATGTCAAGCAGATCGGACCAAGAAGCCAACAAACGCTTCTGTGCGATCTCAAATCGCCCTATCCAGTGCACGAATTCACTCTGGCCTCGATATGTGCGAAACATCTGAAGGAATCGCCAAAGGAACACATGATTTACTCCCTTCACGAAGTATGGTCTCAATGTGTCCTTGAAATGAGAGAGGCCACGATCCGGATCTCGGAGTAAGGCATTATCGAGCATCGACTTATAAAAAGAAGCGGAACCAATGAGGGCATTCTTTAATGATGGTCCGTGCTTATCTGCATCCAATGTTGTGATCCCTAACCAGTCATCAATTAAATCTTCATATTCAAACCAGCTAGATTGGCCATCAAATTGGGGTGGAACCTTCGGTGTCATTTTGATGCCATCCGGTTTTCGGAATGACTGGTGGCGGCATATGCTTCCGGCTCTTCATAAGAGACAATCTGGAGTTGTTCTTCATCTGAATCCATGTTGTGGATTAAGACCATGGCAGCGACTCTAACTTGACCTACAGGTTGCCTCCGCAAGTCCGATATACGGAATGTATGCAGAGAACGGCAGTTCGGCACACAGATCTAGACTTGGCGAAGGCACAGGCTCCGCTACCACTTTGAGGTAGCTATCCCCTTTGAGGGAGCCCTGGATTATGTACAAACACCTGAGTCAAGCGTGAGCGACGGCACTTCTTTTCTACGCAAGATTCTGCTAGTCTTGAGCCATGCGGAGTGCGCATGAAAGATATGAATTAAGTGTACATGTCAACATGCATGAAAGCATTGTGTAGACACGTAAAACAAAATAAGTAACAGGGGGAAAGTGAAAATTCTTAGCTTGGGAAGCCCCCACGGGGGAAAAGTGAAAATTCCCTCGCTTGGGAGGCTCCCACGGGGGGGAAAAGCGAAAATTCCCTAGCTTGGGAAGCCTCCACGGGGGGGAAAAGTGACAATTCTCGCCCGGGAAGCCTCTACGGGGGGGAAAAGTGAAAATTGCTTAGCTTGGGAAACCCCAATTGGAAGCATTGTCGAACATGATGTTTTCGACCGGTTTTATGGCGACAAAAGTGTAAAGTACCGTGCTTTGAAGGAAACCATTGCAAAAACATGGAAACACATTCAAAGAACACGGGATTTGGGGGACTATCTAGGCGTCGTTGTCTAGCTATTTGCTGAAATCTACCTGCGGTGTGGGCGGCCACCCCACGCGAAGCGGGGTGAATATGCAACTGGCTTTCCGGCTTGCTTAACGACCTGGCGAGAGCCATATGGCGTTGGACGGAAAAAAAAGGGGCATGCATTGTACAAGTGGCAACGGGTGTTTGAGATTCTTAACTACCCTGGCGCTGTAGGGGCGGCGCTTTTGCAGGAGCAGCTGGAGACGAACCCAGGAGCATGCAGTGAGGTGCTAAGGGATTCTTTGGGTATCAAGTCACTTAGAACGGCAATCAAGAGGGCTCAGACACTTCTCCAGTATTTTACTTGGCTGCAGATGCATGTGGCAGATTGTCTCCTTGGGAACGGTCGCATTGCCTACAGTATCTTAGCTTCAAAGCGCATGCAAGATCATCCGCATCAAGGGGCATGACTTTGTTGGAATCGTTTAGATTTGCAAGGCTTGTACTTGAGATTCCAATTCCTGATCAGTTGCTGAATGATCCACAGTTGTGTGGGCGAGCGCAGCGTCTCCTGGCAGAGAAGGAAGTGTACAAGTCTGCCCGACCCCCAAGGGTGGCACAAACTAGCATCACTGGAAAAATTGATTGAGTCTCCTTTGGGCCCTATTGATGTTTACATGTTGGGTGCAATTATTTTTTGCAGTGCTTTCCAGATATGGTCGGATCTCAAATTGACACATCAGATTTGGGTCGAGAAGGTCAACTTCAATGGAGAGCTGTAACTGTATAGATTTTCTTTTAGCAGAAGCCATTAATTTCGTTTTCTGTGCATGGATTCACTGGACTTGAATCTTTTGACGGTGACACAGTTGATTCGCTTACTGCTGAACATTTTGTACGAACTGGCTAGACGATTTACCTTCAGAGGCATCTCCACATCCTCCTCATTGCAGTGAACCTTGCAACTTTTGCGATTGTACCTGTGCCAGGGCAGACAAGCATCGCACCCATAGGTGCACGTTGCATTGGCGTTGAAGTGATGGTCACGGTGCCTCTTGAGTCGCAGGCGGGCGAGGCCAAAGAGGGTGAGGAGAATGATGCTTTGAGTGTAGCTGCAAGTTTTGGTTTTGAAGCATCACTGCCTAGTGCACCGTATTCTCAAAGTGTAGCGTCCAACGATGGCGCTGGTGGTGGACCGTTGGTTTTACCAGAAGTGACAGAGCCTAGCACTAGCAGCATTCCAGTGCGGAGTGCGCTGCAGAGAGACTTGACTGTGAGCAATGACAGAATTTCACAACAAATTTTTGATGCTACGTTGATTTTGGCCAGACGAAAAACTGGTGTCTCCTATTCAGTTGGGGCTGCCAAAGCTTGACTTGGTTTCAGAGTTGTTCCGGCTGCCAGTGCTGGGACGTTTGTCACACATTGAAGATGCCATGCACGACACGACATTGAGTATGAGGCCCACAGCTGAAGGAGTATACAACATGCCTTTTGCAAAGAGGCGACTGATGACATCCAAACTGGCCAAGTCAGATGATGCGATGCTGACATCAGCTCTGAAGAAGTTGCGGAACCTGGTGCTTTTTTGGCCTGAGGACAGCCGCTTGGGGAGAACCTTGTTGAGCTCAGCAGGGGCAGTTGTAGGAGAGGATGTCTTACAACAATCTCTGCGGGACTGCTTTGCTGGTAAAGCGGTTGCAACGCTTGTCAAGAGAGCTTCTGACTTCACTAGGTTTGCAGAATTCCAAGTGACCTGCAACAATGGGAGGCCGCTGAACCCATCAGAGCATGACTTGTATGCCTACCTGTGCTACTTGCGTCAACAAGGAGCTGGGGCCACAGCAGGTGAATCTTTCATATCTGCTTGGAAGTTCATGCAACACACTGTGGGAGCTGGTGCAAGTGGAACGCCAGACATTATCTCTGGAAGAGTCCGAGGGGCGTCCAAAGACTTGATGGCAAAGAAGCGCAAGCTCCAGCAAGCGCCGCCGTTGCCAGCAGAGGTTGTTTGGAAGTTGGAGGGCCTGATGACAGAGCGGATCCAGCCCAAGATAAAGGCCATCTTGGGGTTCATGCTATTTTGTATGTTTTCCTGCTCCAGGTTTGCCGACGCTGCACGTGCTCAGAGGCCGGTGATATCTCAATTTCAACATGTCATTTTGGTGGAATCTTCTAGCAGTGAATACAAGACAGCATCTGGTGAACGGCGGTCAGTTTTGCTACCACTTGCTGCTCTTGGGACAGGGTTGAGTGGAACAGGCTGGGCGCTATCTTGGATGAGTGCCAGAAGACCGTGTGGACTGGGTGCAAGTGATTGCATGATGCCGGCAGACTCTGAGTCCCAAAACAGTTGGCTTGAAAGGAGAATGACACCGGCTGAGGGTTCCTATTGGTTGAAGGACCTGCTGACCATGACGGGCATGTCTGAGGGTGAAGCTTCTCTATACTCCACCCACTCCCTGAAGGCCACGGTTTTGAGCTGGGCTGCCAAATCATCGACCTTTGGTTGGCAAGAGAGGTTGGTACTGGGGCACCACTTGGATGAGGAGACCAAAATAGCGGTAGTGTATTCGAGAGATGCCATTGCTGCAGTGATGGTGAAGGTCCTTAGAATGCTGGAGACGATACGGCAAGGGATTTTCGACCCGGATGCAAGTCGAGCTGAGAGAATTGCAATGGCAACTGGGCTTACTCAACTCCCTGACAATTTACCTGAGCAGAATGACATGGAGCGTGAGCTGGAAAGGAGACTGGCCTGCGACCAAGAAAACAGCCAGGTGATTGAGTCAGATATCGAAGAGGACAACATAGTAGAGAAGCCCATCAAGATTCCAGGTGAATCTGAAATGCTGGCACAATCATGCTTTCCGCCCATTGACCTGGACCAATGCGTGGTGCACAAATTATCTGGGATAGTGCATGGAAAGGAGACGACCGCTAGTCTCTTGTGTGGACGAGCTTTATCCACCAACATGCGCCCAGTGGATTTCCCTTGGAGTGAAAGAGACGCTCATGAATTTTGTGAGCAATGCAATAGGGCACTGCACCGTGCCTGAGTCTTTGCGGGTACAAAAGGTTTGGCCTGGTGATCATCAACTCTTTTGGGAGGGACTGTGCACTCGTTTTCATTCCCAGTTTTATTTCCAGTTTTATTTGCACTGCATGAAATCTCAACAGATAATTTGAAAGAAATCATTTGCTGACTGCCGATTGGGTGCTGATTGTAGCACGTGAAGGTGTCAGGTGAGGTGTGGAATAGGGTTGAAAGGTTTGGCATGATCTGGCAGTGAAACTTCAACTTGATTTGCGGCGCATATGCTCAGCAGCGGAATGTTGCGACTGAAGCAGATGCACGGTTGTGAACATTTTGACAAGTTCGAATTAGCATGCCGTTCAATTTCCTTTCCACTTGACATTTGTTTCATCTCCAATGCATTTGAGAGCCATTGCTATGCACATGACCTTTTTTGAACGTTTGCATGATTTGGGTTTGTCATCATACTTTCACTGACTAAGGTTTCAACCCCTGCTATCGGTGACAGGTTGGCAGATCGTTCTGAGCCAATGGCTTCAATGGAGTCTGTGGCAAGCTTTAAGGCGCGTGCATTCGAGATAGGCATGGAAGATACATTGGTGCAGCGGTTAACAGACGCTGGAATTGATACCTTTGGTAAACTGGCCTACATTTGCAGCGTAAGCCCAACTTCAGGGGATGACAGACCCTTGAAGGATGCCTTGCAGCAGTTGATTGCTGGTGGCGACCAATTGACGCCTCAGGAGTTGATTCTTATCCGACGTCTCTGGTTTGAATCATACACCTTGACAGTGACAGAAATTCAGAATAAGATGCAGAAGAATCCAAACGACACACCCAAGACAATTCCTCTTGCAGAAAGACTGGTTAGGGTTGAAGAGCAGCGTGATCGTTTGAAAGGCTTGATCTATGACCAGTTCTTGGAGCCAGCTCATGCACTGACAGACAAGGTACAGGCAATGCTCGAGGACGGTGTGGTCACATACCTAGCTCCTGAGAAATGCATTTCAAGGCATGATGAAATTCAGTGTACAAAGAACGATCAACAGCTGAGTTTTGACTTGCAAGGCAATGTCAAAGTCACCAAGGCTGAGAGCCAGCTGAGTTGTGATGTGACAGGTGAGCTGAGGTTGAGACAGTGTTTGACTCGCAAGGCTTTGGCATTTGATCAGATCAAGTTGTGCTCGTTTGATGTCATGGAAACTTGGCACAATGCAATGGTACAAGCTTTGATGAGGAAACCCCCGGCGGGGCACAAGTATGTAACGATTCAGCAAATCATGGCAGCTGACAGAGAGCTTTGGAGTTTCTTGTCGCAGAACACACGTGGCAAGTTGAAGGTGACAGTAGGGCAGCCTCCTCCGCTTGACGTTGAGTTGGAAACTTTGAGAAAGTCCCCACCAGTGTTGTGCTTTATGACACCACTGCCAGGACAGACGCAGAAAGTGGAGACGCCCAAAACGCCATTGCAGGCGGCTCCAAAGCAGGGATCGCCTAAAACCCCGCAGCAGCCCACGAAGACTCCGTCGGGCACCAAGAGAAAATTTGAGGGAAGTGGCACGACAGTGAAGGAGTTGTTGCAGAACTTGCCACCAAACTGCACTTCAAAGACAGAACAGAACAAGTTCATTTGCCTGCACTTCAACAATGGCACGTGCAAGCGACAGAAGGCGACATCATGCAACATGGGCTCGCATATTTGCTATTTCAAGGGTTGTGGCAAGAAGCGACCGTACATCGAATGTGGCCACTGACCTAGTGATGAGGTGCAAGTGAGAGAAGAACAGCATTGTTCAAAAGATGTGGCGGTTTTGCGGGCAGTGCAGTTTTGTCTTCAGAAGCTTCCAAACGAGGTTTCCAGACGTTTGCAATCGATCATGAAATGAATCGGTTTTTGCCCAAATCAAAGATTTTCTTGCTGGATTTGTCGCGGGAGACATCAGAGCAACTCTTATCGGATATGTACAGGCAGATGAGGCCTCAGTGGACTCATATGGGACTTCCTTGCGGCACCGCTTCTAGAGCTCGTGAAAAACCAGTTTCAGTGCGGGGCGCCCCTCAGCCACGGCCGTTGCGTGATCAAAACAACCTTTTGGGGTTGGACTGCTTGACAGAATCTGAAAGGCACAGAGTGAACTGTGCAAGCAAGGTCTACAGAACTGCTGAGCATGTGCTGTTCTAATTTTTTGTTTGGGGCTCTGGGTATCGCTGGAAAACCCGGAGCGATCATGGTTGTGGGCCATTTTGGCCATGCTTGTGAAACAACGCAACAATGCAGAATACACTGCGTGGTATTTTAATTTGGTCGATACAACTTTTGATGCGTGTCAACATGGTAGCTCATTTGCGAAAACAACCAGGCTGAAAGGCACTCCAGGCATTTTTGACCATTTGGCCGGTCGCTGCTGTGGAGATCATGAGCATGCAAAATGGCAGGTTCAGAAGCTTAATTCTTCGTGGGTTTTCAATACTGCTGCAGAAGCTGAGTACCCCAAACTGTTGGCTCAGCGCATGGTTGATGCGGTCGCAGTGCGATTACCACCTGGTCTATGGGATTTCACACGCCGGCAATTAATTTCGGCTGGACTTGCTGCAACAGGCTGACAAACAGCACCGTTTGGCACAACAACTGATTCCGGAATATCGACAGATTCTTTTTGCTGATGCTCCCCCCATGTCCGGGGCATTCAAAATTTTGTGTGAGCCTTCAACTGCGGGGGACAACTACAAAGGCGCAACTGCTGAAACAAAGTACAAGATTGGGTTTTATTTTTCACCGGCTGAGCACTTTGACAGGGCCATTCAACTGAAACACCCTGCATTGGCATTCCACGTAGTCCCTGACGTGCTGAGGGTCAACTTCTTCAGGCTATGCACGTTGGGGCCTCATGCAATAGCTCAAATGAGGATCTCTGCACTGAAAGATGTCATGAAGTTGAAACTTGAAATGGCAGAGCAAGAGAAACGAATGAGAGAAGGCATGGAAAGCCACGTGAAAGTTGTGACAATGGGAAAGCCCTTGTTGTTGTGGAGGAAACTGCTGGAAGAAACGGCTTTCGCTGATATGAATGTTTGCAAATATATGGAAGAGGGCGTGCATTTGACAGGTCCTGAAGACCCTTCTCCTCTTTACATGACAAAGTACGCTCCTGCCACTCTGACTGTGGAACAGTTTGATCACCAAGCGATTTGGAAACGCAGAGCTATGACGAGTAAGGCAATGACAGAGGAAGAGATTGAGCAATCTGCCGATTTGAAGCGGGAGAGCATGGAGGAAGTCGCGGCAGGGTTCTTGGAAGGGCCTTTCACAGAGGCCCAATTAACCCAGAGTTTGGGTTCTGATCAATGGAGCTTGACAAAAAGCCGGAACTCTTTGAAAAAGATGATGGCCTTATTATGTAGGGTCTGTTGTCTTTGCTGTGCAGACTCTTTTCTGCAACAAGCGTGCGCCGCGTCTCCGTAATGTAAGGGCACTCCTCTGCACTTCGCTGTCCTCGCTTCTCTCCGCGTCAGCGTATTTACCTGTGGTTTGTTATTTGTCTACAAACCTCAAACAACTGTTTTACAAACAAACACATTTGCAGCGAATGTCTTTCAGTTGCAGTGATGTGTTTTCTGTTCTGACACAAACTCTGTTTCATGTTCTGAACCTGGTTTGAGTCTCTTTTAATTTTTAACAATACTGAATCCACATAAATATATGTTGTGTCCGCAACATATTCTTTCAAGGTGTGGGTGGGTGGGACCTCATGTTTTTTATGAGGAAACCAAATAGCATGGGGGGCCGTTGATGGGTTTTCATCGCATTTGGGCTGAGTGCCCTGCTGACAGTTCTTTGAAGTTGCCTTGGGAACATGGATTCTGGAAGAGTTTTTTCGAGGGTCCTACTGAACCTAAGGGTATTCTGGACTGGAAGGTAGCAGAGCCTCCGCTGTATGTTCCCTGTGCCTCCCGTGATGAACCGGCGCCTGCCAAGAAGCTTCGTGTGTCAGAGCCTCTGTCATGGCATCACATTGTTCGTTCAGGTGCTGAGCAAACGTGGAAAGACAAACGTGAAGCTGATTTTCAAGTGGCATTACGTCGTTGGCATGATGTTTTGATACTTTTGCCGTGCAGCATTGTCGTAGTTCAACAACTTTTGCATTTGAAGACAACTGCGGAGAGATTGCGTATGTTGAGGGACGTTTTTTGGAAGAAGGCGCCAAGCACTCTTCGGAAACGTGTGCATTCTTTTCTGAGGTTCACATCAGATTTGGAAACACGTCGAATTGCATTTCCTGGCAGTGAAACAGATTTCTATTCTTTTTTGGATGGACTCAGAGTGGCCGGAGCCCCTGCATCTAGGATTCAAAGCATCATACAGTCTTTGCTTTTCGTGCAGCATGTTGTGCGCGTTCAGGAACTTGATCCCCTGACATCATCCAGGCGATGTCTCGGCGTGTCAGGTTGTCGCAACACTGGTCCAAAACGGCAAGCTGATCCATTTAAAGTCACGGACTTGGTTGCGTTGCATGGTGTTCTTGCAGACAGCAGCAGAGACAGTTGGGATCGATGCATGGCTGGTATGATCCTATTGGCTGTTTACTCACGCAGTCGTTGGAATGATCTGCAGCAGGCTGAGTCCATGTTGTTGGATTGTGGCCCAGACGGAACGGTTGCATATGCAGAGCTCAAGATAGCAGACCATAAGACGAAACATTCAACCGCTTTTCGAAATTGTTTCTTGCATGCATGTGCTCCTGCTGCAGGTGTTGTGGATGATGGCTGGATCACCAATTGGACGCAGGTCCGCTCTGAGCTGGGAATTTCGTTTGAGGCTGGCCACCCGACTATGCCGGCACCCATGGAGGGTGGTGGAATCAGTATGAGGCCCCTCAGCAGTGAAGCACGTCCTCTTTGGTACAAAGATGATAGCCTTATTGTTGGGCTCAATGGTGTTTTGCATGTATTGCAAAACAAGTGGACCTGCTACAAACCTTTTAAGTGAAGTTTGAAAGAAACAATGAGACTTTCTGTGCTGTA